ACACACACACACACACACACACACACACACACACACACACGCAAAGAGACAACAAAGAGCAAAACAAAAACAGGAAGTAAGTAAATTAACAGAAAATACCCAGATCTTCTCAAACATTCATAATACCCAAGTAAACACATAAACACACTCGCTGGTCTTTAGGTCCAACTTGCTAGTTCTGGGTTGGACCTCCAACCCCCTTTGCTTGTAGAATTGCATTTATTTTTTATGTAGCATGGATTAAACAAGGTGTTGTAAAAAATATTCCATGAGATTTTGGTCCATTTTGACATGATGGTGATATAATTGTTGTTATTTCAAGAGAAGGGATTTAAATAAATTTGGTGTCTGATTAACTGAACTTTAGATACAGTTTTATATTTCACACTTTGTGATTATTTATAGTTATTTACTTTAAACGGGAAGAGAATCAGCAAGTCTCTACTCAATGCGTCCATCTGTCACTATAAACAAAGAACTGTTTGTTGACTTTCTGACGTAAAAGATACCGCCCCCGGGGGTGTGACCAGGGTGTTTGAGTTTTTTATTTTCATGTAAGGCTTGAGACGAGAGGAAGTCTTTAGCGTAGCCGGCAGCAGAAGAAGTCATTGTTTTGGTTCTGATAAGACTCAGGGCCTTGCACACAGACAGTGGCTCTGAGCAATGAGATGGAGTTTTTTAGAGCTTTGGTTTCCTACGCATTTATTCTGCCTTCCAAATTTTTATCCCATTTTCTCCCTATAGTTTTATGCAGTTGCTGCATGGTCTTCTGCTGGTGTAGCTTTTCTGCTTCAATGTTGTAAATTGTTGAAAAATGAAAGTTACGTAAACCCTTTTCTTCTCTGTTTTGAAGTAAAATCTGAACTTCAGCAAGTCCTCTTTACCACTTCTAGATGTCTAAATGTATTGAGCTGCTGCCATGTGATTGGCTACAAGRAATATAACCTCATGAATTGGACCTAATGAAGTTAACAATGGGTAATTGCACTGCCTGGACAAAAATAAAATAAAATAAAAAGTAAAAACAGGTAACAGCCTCTCATTGGATAAGAGTTCCCAAATGGTAAGCAACCATGTCGAAAGACAAAGACACATTATGTGGTCGTGATGCATCAAGCAGAGAAGATTGCTAAAACTACTAAAATCAGGTTAAGATTTGTAGAAACTGGGAGGACGATGGGAAAATATCTTTTTTGAGGAAGGAATGAGGTGGGTGGGCCCCTTTTTGGCCAGGCAGTGTATTTATTTATGACTGTGATAGCTTTGACACAAAACTACAAAGTCAACTGTTGTTTGAGAAAAAGGCTAAATTTATTATGGACATGTTGCTAATAAAAAGTATAATAAAATTAAAAATAAAACAGCAAGAACTGACAGTACTATGAAAACTGCTTCTATTATTAAGAAGTTACGGTGGCCCAGAGGTATCTGGTGAAGTCTGAGGAATGAGATCACAGGACACCATTTTCTCCAGGTTCTCTGGCTTTCTCCCACAAACAAAAACTGACTGCATGCTGGCGTGGTATTTACAGCTCTGAAAAGAAATAAAACATAGTTTCCCTGTATTTGGTAGAAAGCATTCTACCAAGTGTTGATTTCTGAACTCTTCCTGAGTTAAAACATTAGTATTGTTGTTTCTAAATGAATATGAACTTGTTTTCTGTGAATTATTCGAGGTCTGAAAGCTCTGCATCTTTGTGGTCATTTTGACCATTTCTCATTTTCTGCAAAAAAAAAAAAATACTAAATTTTTGCTTGAAATTTCTGAGGCTTGTTATCAGTAGTTCATAGAATAAAATAACAATGTTCATTTTATTCAAACATATACAGTATAAAGAGTAAAATCTTAGAAACTGATCATTTTAAAGTGGTCTCTTCATTTTTTCCCCAGAGCTGTATATTGGACATTTCCAAGGTGAGTTAAGACTTTTGACCAATAATTGCTGGCAAAGTCCTTCATCTCGAACACATTCTCACTCCCGACTCATCAACATATTGACGCTTTTCCAAAGTTCCCTCTGCGTCTTGTTTTGACGTGTTGGGTGACCCCCTCGTGTCAGTCCTTGCTGCCCGCGGCTTTTCCAGGTTGCGCCACCAGGGGTCTTTGGGTCGGGGGTCTGAGGTTAACATGAGGGATCAGGATAATTGGTTAAGTTTAGGTACTGGGGTCAGGGACAGGATGTCTACAGTGAATATTAGGTAATTTTAGGCTTTGGAACACATAGTTCACGTCAATTTTCAACATTTTCTAAAAATGGTTATTTTTAGGTATCAGGGTTGACGGTTAATTTTAGGTACTAGGGTCAGGGACAGGATGTCTAAAGTGAATAAAGGTAATTTTAGGCTTTGGAACATTAGTTTTGTGCATTTTCTACACTTTCAGAATTTTTTTTTTTGGTTCTAAGAGCAATTTAATCAGCAAGGGATCACTTTTATTTTGGGTAAACATTCCTCCAGTGCAAAATGAATGGACACAAGAAGAGACTCTCAGTCAGTGAATGTTGATTTGAACCATAATTATGCTATCATTTATTTTACAAATCATACACTTTCAGAAATTATGACAACAGATCCCGCCTCATCTCGTCAAAAAAAAATGACGCAAGGGGAGTACCCGACGCATCAAAACGGGATGCAGAGGGAACTTTGGAAAAGCGTCAATATGTGACGACTCAGGAGTGAGAATGMGTTYTCATCTCCTATCACCCTGAACATAAWAGCAAAACCAGAAAATGAATTAATGACAACCTAATGGTTTGTGTATTCAATAACCACCCTCAAAACACAAATAACTTCACTATAATCAGGGATTAACATAACTGGTATAAGCAACACACTCTTTAGTATTTCTGCATGGGAACCAAGAGACTGTTGTTCTGGAATGCTGTAATGCTGAGGCTCGTTTGTGAGCTAAAGCACTGACACTGATTTTGTTAGTGGGCTGCAGTAACCCAATGACGAGGCAGTACTGATCTTTTGTAACACATGCAGAAGTGCACATGTGTACCAGTTTTGTACATCCCTGATTATCAAGGTTTTACTGATCCTTCATTTGAAGTGTGTGAGTGTACTTTTAATTAGTTTTGTGTTTGTTTTCCTTAAAACCAGAAGACAAAATGGTCCTATGTTCAATTTGGGTTTTGATTTGAACTGGAATTTTTATTTTATTGTTTTCTCCACAGTGAAATCAAAGACTTAAACTTCATTTAATGGCCTCAAGAGACTTTAAAATTAATCTGATTTGTTTCACGTGCAGTTGTTAGTGGTTGACTCTGACCTTTGCTTTCAACTCCAGGCATATTCAGCTGAATAACGCTGTATCTATGTGCTCTTTATTTTCTGGGTATGCTCAAACTGAACTGCAGTTAAAGTAAAAGAGAGACCCTTTTGTTGGATAAACTCAGAGTACACCTAGAGCTCTGTTCTCACTTTTCAATACCAAGTAGATCCTTAATGATAATGTTATCAAAGAAAAGGCAAGTTTTACAATCCTCTGATATTTATTTTAAGTCTCATTTTATTCAGGCATACACATCAGCTGTCAGTTATGACAGATCATGCTTAGTCATGCTTAAACCTTTACCCTTAAAGAGATAAAACAAACTGCAGTGTTCGCTTTGATTAATTTAACATTTTCATCCCATTTACAAATTTGATAGCATATCTCCACACCAGCTGTGATTACGCGGCTCTGTGTTTAAGTGACTAAATTAGCCACTATTATCTTAAACAAGTGCATGTCCCTAAACCCACAGTGGCCGTACAATGGGCCTCATGCAAGAACCGTTCGTACGCACAGATTTGTTCTTAAGTTGTGCGTACGAGTGATTTAGGAGAATTTGTGGCATTCACCACTGTTTTCATATTCTAAGATTTTTTTCAGATACGAACAAAATTCACGAGTGGTCAAGACCTGTCGTATATTTTACGAACAGTCAGTCTGCTGTTATCCAGACGGGTTTTCTTCACTAATAACTTTATATTTCATTAGTTTGAAGGTATTTTGAGTTGAAAATAAATCACACTCCATAATTATGTTGACAATAAGTTATTCTGCTTGAATT